TATCGAGAGATTTCAGAATACAGAATGCTGTTGAAAATCCTGTCAAAATACCATATATCGTGGTATAATATCTAGACGAGGGGTGGCCAATCTTATCCGCAAAGGGCCGGTGTGTATGCAGGTTTTTGGGATAACCTGTAGGTCAGCTGTTCAAACCCAGGTGTGAGAACTCTTCAGCCAATCAGTCCTCTAATTAGTAATCTAATTAGGCAGTTGCAGCGAAAACCCGCGTACACACCGGCCCTTTGTGGATAAGATTGGCCACCCCAGATCTAGACTATGGAAAAATTTAGTGCTCCCAAACTTAGTCGCTGAAGGCAGCATTTGATTGAATGATGTCGTTAAAGTTTTAAGCTAATTTATGCACATTATGACATTTCACACTACGTTAGATATTTTTTTGTTGATGATGTTGGTGTCTCTGTCCCATGGGTACCTAAATAAATAAAAATGTGTTCTTACATAATTGTTACGATAATGGGCTAATGTTTCCGTTTAGGCAGCTCATCCATGATGGGCTATGCCTGTGTATAACTGTATAATTAATATTTACATTTATTTGAATGATAAATGTTACATTATAAAAATTCTAATTGAGTACAGTAATGTAGGTTATTCATAACTATGCCTGTGAGTAAAATGAAGTATGGTGCACAGAGCCCTGTCTGCATGAAAAGCGAATGGCGGATTCAGTCATAATCATAATAAGCTTTTATGATACTGTGTCTATTCTGTTACCAGGGAATTTTCTATTCACAAGGAAACAGTAACTGTAAACATGAGCAAAAGCATAAGTGACAGTGAGGAATATTGATGTAATGTACTTGTTAATATTATGGGATGGAAAGGGTGTTCAGGTGTGCCCTAGCTTAGCAGTAATTTTTAAGTCCTTTTATATTCTAGTTGAGAGGTAAATAGGCATTAACAGACAGGTGGGCTGGGAGTATTTTATTTGGCCCACTTTCATTTGAAGTTGTTTGTCAGGAGTGACGTTCTCTTAGGAAGCAAACTCTTTTTCTTTTCTTTTTTTCTTTTTTAACGTGTGAATGTGAAACGCAGAGAGTTCTGTAGCTATTGCTTCTTTATGGTTGTGTTTTGGTGGGATTGTTCAGGGTTTGGGGCTCATGTTTGTTTGAGAAGGAAACTCCATCTTGTTTGTTTTTTCAGACTATCGTTGCTATTAACAAGGACCCGGAGGCTCCCATTTTCCAAGTGGCTGACTACGGTTTAGTGGCTGATCTGTTTAAGGTGAGAACCGCGTGCCGGGTAATACTTAAAATGCCTCCCTTCATTGTCACTGGGCAAACAAGTGTATCAAAACATAAAAAAGATAAATCCTTCTGCATGAACCTGATCAGTACCTAACAGGGCAGAAAGTTTGTGGACTCTGTATTATGGATGTTTGTGGTTATTACTGTCTTATACTGTATTTACCTCTGTTCAATGCGTGAATCCTTCCATGCAACTGCAGGAAACATAGCTATTCAGTATGGTTCTGCAGGTCTTCCTCTGAAAGGATTTTTGAGTAATTCAGTGTGTTTTCTGTAAAGGCAGATATGATTTATGATATTAACCCTGTATTTGGACTAAGTTTAAGGTGTAACGGCACACAAAATTCACAGTTCAGTATGAACTGCAAGTATAGAAACAACTTTGCATGAGTTTAAACGATATCCTGTTGGCAATACTGCACAAATGTGGCCCTTGGTGGTTAATCCATGTAATCACAGCTATACCTACACGTGCCTAGACTCGTGATCCACACGGTTTTAAAAATTTCAGTGTTTATTTAAGCCGGATCGTTTTGACAGACGTGCGGATCCCCGGTGTGTTTGGGTGACAGTTTCTGCAAGCGTAATTCACTCGGGAAAATGCACTGTTGCATTATTAAAGGAACAGTGTAGTGCTGGCTTTAATAACTCTGTACATAATAATTAGGTAGTAATAATAAAAGTACGTACGTACAGTACTGAATGTTGAGCCGACAAATCTCTGAAGCTGTGCAATGTTTTCATGACCGTTACAAAGTAGTGCGCATGTTCGTTATTACGAACCATTGTATTGAACCCGAATTGTAATATAATATAAGACAGATCGGTTTTATGGCGATCTGTTTGTAAGTACGAGTTGTCTGTGAGTCGGACGTTCTTAACTGGGGGAATGCCAGTACTTTAAATGTAACTCATTATTATTTCTGATTTTATGATCAAGTACTAAGTAAATACCAGCTAGTATTGTTCCTGTTCCTTTTGTAAAGTGGTGTGTTTTAACGATATTTAAATGGACGTAGAGCAGAAGCTACACTGACAGTATCATCAGAGAACGACACTTGGCTCCAAATCGCAACACCGCTGATTAACTGTTTGGTTACATGTTTGGTTTTCATTAGCTTGCATGTTGGAATCTTAACCACCACCCTGAGTTGGGTCCAGGCAGATGCTCAGCAGAGGACTATGTTTGCTGTTGACGGCGCTAACCAAATTGGCTTCTTTTTAAAGGAGAGTTTATGTTCATTTTATTGCATTCCCTGCATGGACAGGGAATACATACGGTTTTGGTACTGCCCCACCGCTGCCGCAGACACTTACTACTGATCACATTTTGAGTCATATTGCACCAAACCTGAAGCATATGGTGCTTTTCCAATGGCACCAAGAACTGAGTATTGGTACTGTACTTTGGCAATGGAAGATGACGTCAAACAGGTATGCAAGAATACAAGAACGGTCAGTACACGTATTGACAAACACCCATTATATGAGAGTTTATATTATACATTATTTTATATTTTATATATATATATATATATATATATATATTATATATATATTATTGAGAGAGCGTTTAGTTTTTTATGGTATTATTATACTCACACTGATTTTAGGAGATGTGCTGCTTATTTTGTTCACATTTCATACCTGTGAGTACATGTGAGGCAGTGAAGGTGTTTCTGTAATGTACCTATGGAATATGTTATCAGGAGAGTCGTGAGCTCTGAAGTGAGCAGTAAAGACTCAGTCCGGGCAGTGAAAAGACCCTGATTACTTCAGTGTCCGCTTTTCACTCCTAGGCTGTTCCAGAAATGACGGCGTTGCTGAGCAAATGACCTGCTTCACATTGTCAAGGCCGATTTCTCAGCATGATGGCAACTTTGAACCCTTTTCCGGAGCTGAAGATCCACCTTAAGGAGACTGTCGCCATTTAGGTCAAACATGGCTTTTGATTATACATACAGCTGTCATGCGGAAAGACCTGCCAGGACTTGCTGGATGAAGAGAGGCCACCCGCCAGTAGCTCCACATTTTCACAACCTAATTGCCTTTATATAGATAATACTGTCGAAATTAAACCTCAAATTATGTTGACCTTGTTTTCTTTGTGAGGTTTCGATTTTGCTCGCTGAAGGATGAATTCTGACGGTAGGGTTTGCTGGCCAGTTGGCATTGATGGGTATCTGGAATGGTACCCGGATACCCATCTCCTGTTAATTTAGTTTCTGAATGACTTTTGGTGTTGCAGATAAAACAAAACAACTGTAATTTTTGTAACGTAATAAAATTCAGAAATAAGTTTGTCTTGTGACATGATTTTCTCGTTTGATTTCGTCACTTGAGTAAGAGCATTAAAATGGCCATATCTTCACACCCAAGTAAACGCTTCATTGATAATTTGCTATTTATTATTTGTTTATGAAAATCTAAAAGTCCCAACCTGAGACACTGCTCTGATTTGTTACATCTGAGTTACAGTTGTATAAGTAACAGTTTACATACAAAGGGCAGCCGCTAATATTCTGTTCAATTAAACATGACCTTTGCATATGATTCAACCGTTGTACCCTTGGGGTAAAATGCCTGAAATGTAGTGAAAACAAGCAGTTTGAAAAGGAAACGTTTGTATGGATAAAATTCTAAGTGACAAATGATGTTCATGTTGTGTTATGTCTATTAACTGTAGCAATCAACAGCTTTTGATGCTTTTGTATCTAATAATATAAAAGAGCTGTAGTTCTCTGGGGAACTTCTGAAAGTCTGCTGTGACATTAAAGAAAAACAATGCCATGGGGGGGCACGTCACTTAAGTGCTGCCTCTTCTGCTACTATGCAAATTCAAATATGAAGTATGACAGGTACCGATTTTCAGAGGCAGTGTTGAATCATGACAAAAGTAAGCATGTGCATAAACTTTTATTCAATTTTCTGCTGTTTTACAAAAATATGATAAAATTCTTACTGCTTGGTTTGTTCATGTACCTCATGTGTAATAAGACAAATTTGATGCATTTTAATTTTATTTTACTGTAACAGACATAATAGGTTTTAACAAATATTGCGTATACTCCTAAACTCTGTTTACCTGTTTTAATTCTCACTAGTGAGAACTCAGGCACTGTTTTGGTGTGTTAGTTTAATATTAGAAGTATCACTTTTAATGCTGGTTAGTACTGTTCTACCAATATAGCTGCCAAGAACAGATGCTGTCTGATCATTTAGGAAGCACGGCTTAACAAATCACATTAAGGTGACGCGTTGTTACTTTGTGGTCTTTGGAATCGTTTTTGTGATTTGTCATTTTAACGGAATTTGACGTTTGCATTGAAATCCAACACTCTCAACAGACGATATTTCTCCCTAACAGAAGAAGAGGGTGCAAAGATACAAGACTAACATAACATCTCCCATGTCTCTGATGCCATCCCGCTAGAATGGTAGACAAATTGTGAATAAACATGGAGACAACACAATTAAACGAGCATATGCAAAAATTCAAGGCTAACCTTAGCAAAGGAGGGAACAAATATAACTGGCCGATCGGCGAATTTTACCGACAGCATCCCCCCCCCCCCACCCTGAATGGTAGGTGTTACCGCTGGCACCCCGCGCTTTGATTGGCATGTTATTGACGTTCTATCATTTTTAATTCAACCCCCTTTCTCTTTTGTGCCCCCCCCGGAAAAAAGGGGGGTTTCATTAATTTGGTGTCTGGCTGCAGAAGGGGCCTGAGAGTGCGTGTCATCTGTCAGGCCCCATCCACTCTCAAGCCCCTACGTCATTTCCGTTAAAACGACAGAATCCGTCTTCCCGAACCCCAATACGTAATTTCCGTTTAAACGATAGACTCCGTCTCAAACCGGAACAATACCGTTGTACATATGTGTATAAATAAATATAGTGCTATTGTATGTGTTATTATTGTGAGACATCAGACTATAGCTAATATTTACTTTTTAATAATTATTTTCTTGTGCCATATGCCGTGAAATATTGTACTTTAATAATGTAAGCATTTAAATGTTTGTATAGCGTTGTTAATAGGGAATTGTACACGGGGAGTGAGTATACGAAGCAAGTATTATGCGGGAGGGGGTTGCAAACAAACCAGCAAATGGCAGTATTTTTGTTTTAATGTGGGGGTGGCACCATAGGTGCGCATGCATGGGTGTGTGTGAGTTCCCGTGACAGGTATGCTAAATGTTATTGAGCTGTGGGACGGGCAGGACTGGAGATAAAGACGCCACAGCGGCGGGAGCGATAGGTTTGACGTTCATGCGACGATTGGCTTGCGGTGGCGATCTTCAGGAGCAACGGTTGAGGACTAGTGAGATCGTTCAACGCGCTCTAGTTCCTTCCGATAAGTTTTACTTCTGGTGAACGTACGGACACGAACTGGGTGGGTGTGTGCGTGCGTGCATAGGTGGGAACTGATACTCCCCCCCCCCCAGTCATTTTTAATAAAAAAAAATCCCAAAAACAAAATGATTAATTATATTGTGAATACAATAATATAATGTGGAGTTGCAATAGTTGTACAATTGCCTAATTTAAATAAACGTTTGCCAATAAATATAATAGTTGTGCTTTGGTACTGGCCAAAGTACAATATTTTTACGATGTTTAACATTTTTTTCATTTAAATTTCTACAAGAAAAACTACTATTCTAGTTATATACAAACTATGTTGTTTTTAATAAAAATGTTTTTTTTTCTCACAACACAGCAAAAGGAAATTAAGCTGTTAATCTTTCAAACCCAACAGAATACAGTATAACAGACTTTGGCTGACTTTATTATGTGACTGAGCACTAGTCTTAGGACTTTAAGGTAAACACGAGTTGCCTGTAGTAAGGAGAGGAGTTCGACACACGCGTATTTCGATGTGATGATTAATTTCTAAACTGTTAAGCCATACATACCGCGTTTTAAGAATTATATGCGGGACAAAATTGATTTTGTAGCGGCAGTCGGCAAGTCGTAATCTATCGTGACAAGACGGATTATGTCGTTTTAACGGAAATGACGTAGGGGCTTGAGAGTGGATGGGGCCTGACAGAGGACACGCACTCTCAGGCCCCTTCTGCAGCCAGACCCTTCTCGTAATTTTGGCTATTCGGAACAATAACTTAAATTAGTCAATTGAATGAATCAGAATACCACATACAATGAGTATTCACGTACAGTGAGCGCAGACGCTATCCCTGGAATCACACAGCATTAGACGAGGGAAGACAAACTACGAGCAATTTATGGACAGCACCCCGTCTGGATCCTGACTGTAGGTTTATTTCCATTTAGCTGAAGCTGCATGGTACAGCTCCCTTTGTGGGGTTCTTCCACAACTTTTCATTTTTCACTTTTTTCACTGTGAAGCTGTCAGCTTCCTCAGTTGGATGCTGCTCTCGTGTCACATGTCGGTTCCTTCCAAATAACAGCGAATAGAAGTTGATTTCCTGCCTCACCTGATTGCATCACAACTGCAGATAAATGTTTTCTGGACCTTTCGCTTTGTATTGAAAACCAGTCGAAATGAGCAATAGAGAATCAATCCCTGCTATTTTCTCAGAATGAATTTTCTAACACCTGCACTCTCCAATAATCATATGCAACATTAAGAAAAAGTATAGGATTAGTGAGCCGTGTTTAGTGACTGAATACAATGTCCATTTTTCTCCACCATTTAACATTGTAAACCCTTCCATTAAGTCCTCAGGTGGCTGGAGTTTAGTTTGAAAATCAGGTAGTTAACCCCTGGTGATATAAATACAAATTCTGTTCTCACCAATTGTAGAAAAAGGTCAAAAGTAAGAAATATGCTGCAAATAAATGTCGTCCAATCAGACGTATCCTGCAGCAGCTGGATCAGAGAAGACCATAAGTTTTGTTATAGTATTTTATAGCAGAGCAAGAGAAGTCTCTAGGATTTTCTCTGCGTATTTCTGAGTTTCTCACCATGTCTGAGTCCATTCCAACCCCTTGGCAATGACAATGGGACTGTCTGTGGTTTCAGATGCACTTAATGCATAACCATGTCAGTATGGTCTGCGCTTTCACAAAAACAGTTGTACACTTCCTATGGTGCTACAGTTCTGGTTCTCCTCCTCCGGGCAGGAAGGGCTGTTCAGAAGGGACTCGGGATGGAGATTTGTACCCCTCAGCTCGCTATGCCTCAGGCACGCGGCCCACGGGGGGGTCAGGAGGCTTGCGGAGTTTACACTTCTCCTCCAGCGAGGGCTGCAAGTGTATCAGTGGCTTGGTGTGGAGCACGTTGAGGTTCTCCTGGTTCTTCTTGTTGTAGAGGTTGATCCTGTGCTCCATCTCAGGGCTGGGCATCTTCAGGTTGACGGGGTCCAGGCCCTTCTGGGCCAGGCAGGAGTCCTCTGACAGCGAAGACAGCAGCTCCTGCACCACGGCACTGGGATCCAGCCGGGCCGAGTGTGCGGCCAGAACGCTGGGATCCGGCTGGGGTAGGTGGGCGACCGGAGCGCTGGGATCCGGTCGGGGCAGGTGTGCGACATGAGCACTGGCATCTGGCCGGGGAGAGTGAGTGACCCGAACACTGGGATCCGGCCGGGGCGAGTGAGTGACCGACACGCTGGTAGGGTCACCGCTCAGCAGCCCGTGGTCAGAGAGGTGTACCTCAATGGCTGTGGTGGTGATGACACGTGCCCCATGGGTGCCTGGGTAATCAACCAGGTCATCAGTGAGGACGGGTGCGTTTTGCCGCAAGAAGCATCAAAGCAAAGGCAGACAGCAAGTCACTCACTCACCTTTGCCCGATTCGCTGTAGTACTGGCTGATGTAGTTGTTCATGTCGTCATGAACTACAGGCTCTGAAAGAAGAGATACAGTGAGAAGTAATGAAACGCTCATTACCTGAGTCATTAAACTCAGTGCGTAGAAGTGCTCCATCAAATTACTATGGCCCAGTGACTGGCCAACTCTAAACATACAGCCACAGAGAAAATATAGCACAATTTTTTGTTTCACTCATTTCTCAATCTATGTGCATCTGTGAATTATATATATATATATATATATATATATAATAATAATATTACAATCTGCAGCCTGTTTCTTCCTTGCTTTATGGGACTTCAGTCCTACTTCTAGGAGCCTGATATGAACTGTCCTAGCGGTGCACTTCACACCTGCACTTTGTTTCCCATGCCTATTGAAGGTCACCTGATGTCATCTTGCAATTCACGAGAAACTGTCGGATAAGTTAACGGTCATCTCTGGCATTAGAAAGTCACTTCCACCCTTTATCTTGCTGTTTTTGGTCGTTTCCAGTGTCTCCTGCTTCACCTTATTGTTGTGTACTGCTCTTTTAGAAATTTTGAACCTGGAAGCAACCTGCCGCTCAGCATCGCCTTCTGCCAGCAGAACCCAAATTAATCCTCGATCTAAAAATGCAGATGTGTTTAAAAATATAGAGTGATCTCTTATTTTTTCCCTCTGCTGTTTAAGAAGCAAATTGGTTCCTCTGATGGCTTGCTACTAGTTTACATAGCCTATTAGATATGACTCTTCTGTGATGTATAATCCTGCTCTTAAACTGTCTGTCTTATCCATGGATCTTATGATAAATGTACAAGATCTGCTAACCCTAAAGTATGTCTGACAACCCTGTCAGTGTGCATATGGCACATGTTTAATATCCTAATTTGGAACCAAATGGAATGCTGGTGAACTCACTCTTGGACTTTAAACCTGAAATTATCCAGCTGTAGTAACGTGTCACAATGTGAGATTTAAGTGAGTTTAAGAGAAGCTCAAATCAGCCCCAAGAAGCAGACGGCTGCTTGTGCCCATAGCCGTTCGAAATGCCCGTTTGGTGGGGGGCTAATGCACCCGGCGGGCCCTCTGTCACCCAAGGACCCACGGATCCTCTGACCAGTAATTTCGTTTACATTTAGGCCTGAAATATTCATTGGGGCCACCCCAGGAGACAAGGCGTCACACTCACTGAAACAGACAAGACAGTCATTCTGTAATGAATAACGCATGAACCCCAGAAAGAAAGTACCGTTAAAAGCCTTTTATGCCTCCCCAATCATCCCAAAATAAACTTGGATATTACAATGGACTCGTGATTTGTTTCTTTTGTTAGTCTGTGTGATCTGTTCCTAATAACAACTGCACAAATTTCAAAATTACTTAGCCACTTAAAGGCAACCTAGATTCATTAAGAATTTATGTTTGGTTAAAGAGAAATGATCCATAAAAACACATGGATATGGTTTGCTAATAATGACGATGATAAACAGAACAATACAGCTGAAGAAAAATATTATTTGCTCATAAAATACAGAAGTCTTCTTATCTATGGAACGTACACGTCCATCAAGTTTAAACAAAGGTCACCGTTGCTTCTTACCGACACTTAATTATGCCTGGTTATATTTACTGCCATTGTCTAAGACAGGTCATCTGAGTACTTCTCCCACAGCGCCCCCTAGTGTTTCATTACTGTGCTTCCTTTTCGAGCCGTACTGACTTATACCAGCAAACACGGGGTATAAGGGGTGGCTGGGGGTGCATAGCTCTCTGTATATACTGTGAGCTGTCTTTGTTTTGATAGACCTTTTTGCCAACGTTTTAGAGAAAGCCACACTTGTTCCCTTGGGGGTGATGGTTTCCCACAATCCCCCGGGGAGGCTTGTATGTCTTTTGCCTTATGGGGTCTTTGGCGTGAGAGTAACAGATGTAGGATGCAGGCCCCTGGCTTCTCAGAACATGACCCACCACACAGAAGTGTCCAGACCTCCTTGGAGCTCCACTGACCTATGTGATGAAGACACAGGCACCTAATAGCCATCCGGCTCTCCTGATGCTCCGTGACCATATGAAACACATGCACTCCACGGTAAACTCTATGCAGTTATGATATTTTCTATTTACAACATAAATACATGAATACACATATTAATTTACAATATTTAAAGTGCTGTGCACTGCAAAGCATGACGGTAACTGTACAGTTAGTCCTGCTGCCAACCAATTATGTCATAGACAGTGGGTGGGATTAGGACAAACAAAGAGTTCTGTCAATTTTGTTTGAAGTATACGGCCATCTTTACACTTCATTTCAGAGGTGTGTATGTGTGTGTGTGGGGGGAGGGCAGGGTACCTGCACGGGGGCAATTCTCCCTGGTGCTCGGACCTTCGCCATCTGCCTCCCCAGGGCCCAGGCCCTCCAGGACCTGGAAGGCGGCATTCCGTGTGGCCCAGCCAGGGTGCATCTTTATGGCGGCCTGGCGCTCCGCGGCCAGGTCCAGATCCTGCTGGGCCAGGTGGGCCCGCAGTTGCCGGATCTCAAACTGAGACACAGACACAGTGAGGAGCTCAGTGTCAGCACTGCACTCTGGCAGGCATATGCCACGTGGAGACACAGAGACAATGAGGAGCTCACTGGAAACACTGCATAAACGTGAATACCTGCATACAGCTCAATACCACATCACCCATGGGTCAGTATTAATTCAATGGGTCCAGCACAGAGGGCTGCAGGTCATGGCCAACAGGAAGCCCCCACATGATTCCTTGTTTATTTATCCTGATTGGCTGAGAGCCATTTCTTTGCAGGCTACTGGGCCTGTCATGGATGATCTGTAGGTATCTATAGCTGATTGCTTTGCACAGTTTAGTGCCTTTCTGCCGGAGCACAAGATCAGTGTGAGATGAGGGGAGGGTGTTTCAAGGGAAGCCAAGGGGTGAAATCAAGGGAAAAGCCCCTCTACTCAGCAACATCTTATTCGACTGAGTATGAAGCAAGTTCTCTGTGTGAGTTAGAGAGAGACTGCGAGCAACAGCCCAGCTCATGTTGTTTAACCATCTTGTGTTTCTAAGACAGAGACATACTGTGGTTTGTATGTTGCTTGGTTCACCCATCCCGGTGCTATTAAAACTGCCCCGTTAAACCCTGTGATCCCTGTATCCCATCTCCATGTCTTTCATAGCGTTAGAGCATGTCATTAAATGTACGTGTCGCATCATTTAACATCTTAGATTTTAACCCTTAAACGTGAATGAGGAAAATTAACCTAAAAATGACAGACATTCACTTTACAGAAGCTTTATGTTAAATAGCAAATTTGAATGCTGTTATTTTGTTGCCCTCTAGTGGTGAAAATTAAACCAACTTGAAGTAGAAGTTGCAGTGAGTAGTGCAGTGTTTCCCGAACCAGTCCTCCAGGACCCTCAGATACTCCACGTTTTTGCTCCCTCCCTGCTCCCTGCCAGACAGTCCACATTTTTGCTCCTTCCAAGAGATATGAGTCAAAGGTGGAGAATCCTCTTTTTTGACTAGACCCCTCATCTAAAGCAATGATTCCCAACCTGGTCTTACTGGGATCTGGGAGGGAGCACATGGACTGTCTGGGGGCCCCAAGGATCAGTTTAGGAAATAGTAGAGTAGGAGATAGTGGGACACCAGCATACTGTGAGTGTCCGCGTCCACCCAGCGAGAGCGGGGGGGGGGGGGGCTCACCGCCTGCTCCTGGCAGATCTGTGTCAGGCGTTCCAGCTGTTCCTCTCTAAGTGCCTTGGTCTTCTCATACTGCTGCAGCTCCAGATCCATCTCCAGCTTCACCTGGAGCACGTAGGCTGTGGAGGATTAGGGAACTTTATGACATTCAGACAGTTATGATATAAATGGCTGACCTGAACATTTTTGCCACCTCCGCAATGTTCCTGGGACAGGGAGCTGATCCAGCAGCTCAGACAGAATCACCCTGTCACCTGAGGGAGAGTCACACTGTCCACTTTTACAGATGAGCCAGTCTCACACACATAATGCTTCCATTGTGATTCAGAGTTTAACAGTCCCCCAATCAGCCAATGCACAGAAACTGTTATCACCAATAAACAAACAAATATCATTTACAAAAAGACATGTCAAGTCAAGGAGAGACATTTTTACGCCAAACTTGAGATATACATTGTAAATCCTCATCATTTGCATTGCGTGTGCAACAGTTATAGAAAAAAACGCAACACAGTAATTGTCAGACTTCGTCCAACTTTACAGAGGTGAGACCCAAGACTCACCAATGATCCCATCACTGGACTGCTGGTCCACAGAAACCTGCTGTACAGTTTAAACTCACCATTCAACCATATTACAGAGATGGAGCAGCAGAAAGCCTCCTAGTCTGGTTGTCTACAACAGTGTTTCTCAGCCGGTCCTCAGGGACCCCCAGACAGTGGGAGCTTGGAGGGAGCAAAAACGTGGGCCGTCGAGGGGTCATTGAGGACCGAGTTGGAAAACACTGGTCTACAACATTCTACAAACCGTACAGACAGGGTGTAAACCAAAAAAGCTACTCCAGCATAGCATGATAAATCATGGACAAAATAGATGCAAACCTCCAATAAATACAATAAATGCATACATAGAATAAACCTTATTGATCTCTTTGATTACTGTATTGGAGATTTAGTGTAAAGAGTGAGTTTTGTGTGTGAAATCAGAGGAACAAACACCATGGAAGCTTATACAGTCCCAACGTATGATTTTGGTTTACGCATCATAAATACGTGAACGCAGGTCGTCCCCCGAGCAGATGACAGCACTGCCCAGTGGCCACGAGAGACACGGAGTCTTCAGTATCGACTTTGCATACATTACCGGAACAACCTAACAAGCTGCGATCAAACGTTTCACTTCGTGTCCTCTCATTGCCTCATGGAAGGATGGAAATCGATAAGAGTCTAAATATAAAGAGCGCCGGCAATTCACCATGACGGCGGATCAATAATCGCATTGTTAGGGGGCCCCGCTTACCATAGATTAACTATCATGGTAAGAAAATGAGCTTCACATCCAACAAATCTGCGGATTTATCACCGACAATGACGATGTTCTGCAACATTCAGTGTATCATGGAACATTTATTTAATCTATTAATTAAATGTGCAGTTTGTGCTAAATAAAATAAAAATAAATGCTCTCTGAAATGGTTTTTAATTACTTCTGCTTCATATTCACAGCATTTTTCAGCATTAATTTTAAGGGAATACAAGAGGCCCAACAAAGGCTTTATTACTCAAAGTGGCCCTCCTGTGGCTGATAGTGAGCATTACAATCTTCGTGTAACAGGCACCAGGCTCGTGAAATCATTCGGTCACCGGCCCCTCACCATCAATGACTCTCTTGACCCTCCAGATGCGCAGTGTGATGATGAGGCTGATGGCATCCCAGGGGCTACTGGGCCCATTGGCCACCGTAGAGGCCACCATTGGGGCCAAGGAGAGCACGATGACAGCACCGTCAAACACCTGGAGACCCCCCGAAGGGGGAGGGTACAATACATAAGCCGACAGTGTAGGCACCAGAGGCGTGGAACTCGGGTCCAGAGAGCAAAGTCCAGACCAAGATTTTGTTTCAACAAGCCAGTTGAGTTCAACCAACCAGTTGAGTATAAAGAGTCACAGTCACAGAGTACTCAACTGGTTGGTTGAAACAAAATCTTGGTCTGGATTTTTGCCCCCTCTGGCAGGCACATCACACACCTCATAGTCACAGATAAGTTACTATTCTGATTCAGCTCAGCTATCACACCTGAACCTTGACCAGTTCAGGGCAGGCCCATGTCTGTCTTGATCATTCAGTTTACCTGCTCTTGCCCGCAGTTTACCAAAAACCGGGAATGGGTCTGCTTTGTTTTTCCCCCAGTAACACAGACGGACACCTGAACCTAGACCTAACCAGTATCAATACGATACCAGATACAGTATAATAGTTATCATGGTTTGCTAGAACACTCCAACCCAATCAGGCACTTTTTTCAGCTTTGCAAGCCGCTGACATTTTTTTGAAACTACAAAACTAAGAATTCAGTTGCATGTGAAGGAAATGTGTTGATTTCGCTAGACTGGCAGGTGACAGTCATTCTCATGGTCCCCCATCTCCTCTCGGTCCCTCTCCGTGTGCCGCTAAAGGAGGACAATCAAGCTTCACAGGGATTTACCTCAACCTTGTTCTCAATGTAATCCCAGATCCCTAAAACCACAATCCGGAAAACAGTCTGGGGGAGAGAGAGATAAAGATAAAATACCATTATGTTAGCATTATGGTAGCAGCCATGATTTCATTATCAATAAATCTGCACCAATAGTTTTGACAAAAAAACACATACATTTACATCTACTACTGACATAGCACTCAAGAGAGTAGTGAGAAACACATCCTTTAAAACTGTAAAACCTGAATGAAAACCAGTATCATCTCTGTGTTACTATGTACAAAGTATGAACAAAAAAATTTTTTTTCTCCTTAAATTACATTGCATCACATACTTTATGACTTGAACAAAACGTCCAAATATACCTATGATATATGGATATATGGTTGATTTGATTTAAACAGTTGAATGAAACTAAAGCTGTGTACTTGTTACTCACCGTGGATTGAGTATTACTGAGTAATAATGAATATCTGTTCCCTTACCTCAAAGAAGAACAAAGACAGAATGACCAGGCTGGTCCAGTGAATGATGCTTGCAAACTGGAATGCGTTGACGACTGTGGAAGAGACCCATAAGCAGAAACCATGTCAGATCCAGCACTGAAGTGTCACACATATACATGTGGGGGTGTGTGTGCCTGTGTGGACTAGGGCTCTGTGTCTCTGATCAGAAGGTTGCTGGTTCAAATCCCATGGTCGGCAGAGCTTTGTGGCTAGCAGGGCCCCAACCCTGATTGCTCCAGAGACTGGCTCTCCCAACTTTCATAATTGTACATCATTTTGGATAAAGGAGTCAGATTAATAAATAAGTTAGTGGCATAGTTCCATTCAAATTGCAGTAATATGCAAACAAAGCAGTAACTTTTAGCCATTTTGGTACCCCAGGGTATTACGGTATGCTTGCCTGAATGAATGGTTGATATTGTAGGTTCAGTCAGACACCCTGCTACCCTTTGTCAGCGGATAGTGTTCTTACACCATGATGGGATACATACAGCTGTATCAGTCATCTTGATCTGGAGTATCTCCCTCAATCCGTTCCCCCCTCTATTAACCTCCCTGCCCCCCAGTCTAGGTACCAGCTTGCCTTCCTCCTCAAATTCATTCTCACCCCCCTGCACATTTGTCTAACGCATTTGCTTAACGCTGCATCAGCTCTGTTCGCTTGGGACCCGGAGCTCAAGGTCGAAGGACGGTCCGATACGTATGACAGTAAGGCAGCCGACACCTTCCTGATGCTCCTGGCTATTAGCCATCTCCCTCGTCGGCCCCACTGGGGAGTATTATCAGACTATAAGTAAGGAGAATGTTAATGTGGAAAAACAGCAGATAACCTAATAGAGACACTCTGGTCACTTCCCTGCAGCTACGGTACATAGTTAGCAGGTTTGTGCGTCTGTGACTTTACACCTACAGCTGAATCTTTCTTGTGGATTTGAAGGGATTAGCACATGATTTTATTATTAGCAGAAAGTCTCGAGTAGATTTAGGAAAACAATGAGATGTTAATGAATATTTAATTCTCCAGATAATTTCATTTATGTACCGGTCTGAAATACCGTAGAAATACCCTCACTGTAAGGGTTCAGTGTGAGTCAGTATACAGATGCAGTGCAAGGGATCAGTGTGTGTGAGTCAGTGTACAGATACAGTGCAGAGGATCATTGTGTGAAAGTCAGTGTACAGATACAGTGCAGAGGATCATTGTGTGAAAGTCAGTGTACAGATACAGTGCAGAGGATCATTGTGTGAAAGTCAGTGTACAGATACAGTGCAGAGGATCATTGTGTGAAAGTCAGTGTACAGCCACTCACACTGAAGGAGTTTGGTATCTATTAGGAGCTCCAAGGCCAGCAGCAGCACCACTAGCACGACACAGGCCACCAGGACACAATTGAATCCAACGCTGAGCAGAAAGATTTGCCAGAGACTTGTCTTCCAGCCACAGCACGGTTTCAGCCAGTTGGACCTGTCAGCACATAGACAGAACCAGGACTTTCAAAGCGCTGTTTAAAAGCTGACTGAATGAGCTAATATAGTTTTGCAATTTAAAGTGATCAGCAGTAAGAAATGTCAGCTACAACAGTCCACATGCAATTTAATACTACAAGTAATTTAAATGCGCAATTAAACAGAAATAAAAATCACTTTGCAGCTCGGTAATTATATATCTTCATCAAGTAATAAATAATGTATAAAGAATGGAGAAATCAGAATGTGGCAATTCTTGAGCTGGTCAGTAGAGGGCGCTGTTGTACACAAGCACCTAACCACAATAAGGCAGTGGGGCGTCGCTGCTGGGGCAAAAGGTCAAGCAAAGCAAAAAGCTGAGGCCCACTGTCTCCATTATACAGTGGAAAACACCGTATCACATTTTCCCCCATTATTAACAATCGGTCTAAACATGGTTGAATGAATAAATGATCTCTACAGACATGCATTTGCACTGACTCTGAGCGCCGTTGAAGTGGAGCACTCAGACTGTTCCCACAATGCCCTGGGCCAGATCAGGTGCCAATCCAGTCAATAAGATGCTCCCTCTCCTCAGCCCGACCATCTAACCCCTGGGATTTCTGATATCGATGCTCATAGAAAGCAACAGCTTACAGTTAATAAACATTGTTGTGTCTAATGCTCCTCCTCTGGGATTAAGGTAACAGAGAACTACCCAGCTGTCTTGGTTGATACTTAATAGTTGCAGCCTGATCTGATTCTGGAAGAAAAACTAACCAAAACTAAAAGCACTAGCCCACAGCAGGTTCAAGACCTACTCTCCATACGTTTGTATAATAATAATAACAGCAATACCAATAATCATCATCATGGGTGATTCTAGGTTTTTTTAAGGTGGGGGCACAAAAGGCCATAACTCATACTGCGGGGCCGACCTTATCATTAGCCAATGATGTTTTAAATCAATGAGTGACAGGGAGAGGGAGACTCTGGGGCCAATCAGCTTTCAGCTGGGGTCACTGCCCCAGTGCTCCTGTACATGTCTTAGTGATACTACTACACAATATACTGCTTACTACTGTACTACCACTAGAAGGTCTAAGGGCCCCAGTTACATTACTGTGCCATAACCAGTTTCCTTGTGGCACCTGTATAAACGTCTCCACACGTCCTTATCCTCTGGCTGTGTGTAGTTGGATGTACATTCCACAGCAATGCTGAGTGGTGCTTTGGTCTCATGAGCTTGTCAGAAATCTCTTTGACCCGTTAGACACGGCGCAGGTGATAGGAGACAATGGCTTGGTGAGATTGGTCAGCCACAGTCTGAGGATAAGGAATTAGGGCTTTATACTGTAGTCATCCACACCGGCTTCGTGCTCATGCCCAAGTCAGCCTGGCTTGGCTGCTGACCGTAACACACCGATCCCCGTGTCCATTTCCACTGGGACATTGGTACCTCTGTCTCCCTCCCTCCCTCCCCCTCTGCTCTCTACCCCCAAAGTGGCTTGGCAGACATTCTCCTGTCTCTTGTGTTGGTGTTGTGCTCCTCCTGAACACAGCAGCCCAGCCAGGGATGAACACAGACCAACTTTTAATGATGTTCGCCAGCCAGGCTAAAGCGGCTTCCCTCTACTCAGCTTCAGGTATTCCTCAGTCTTTCACGTTTCCCTACTGGGTCTAGAATCTAGTTTCATGAGATCTATCTCCCACTATTAGTCCAACCATCGATCCATCCACCCAGCCATCATCTTCCATAGCCCACAAATCCAGATATACATGCCAATCAGTGCGAACTCAGTACAATATCATACGTAGCATTAGTTCAAATACAAGAACTCTTGGCCTTAGATGGAAATTAGCAGGAGAACATTTCAAACTGGATTTAAGGAAGCACTTCTTTAAGCGTGTAGTCAGAGTATGGAATAGTCTTCCTGATAACGTAGTGCAAGCTGAATCCTTGGGTTCCTTTAAATCAGAGCTAGATAAGATTTTAACAACTCTGAGCTATTAGTTAAGTTCTCCCCAAGCGAGCTCGATGGGCCAAATGGCCTCCTCTCGTTTGTATAGTTCTTATGTATTTTAGGGACAAAATACATAGAATCTCTATAAATTTACAATCATATGAAGATGTACACTAATACATAATGAATGTTGAAAGAATTAGTTCCCATTCATTGAAATGCAAATCATGGTAGCAGCACATCTAACAGGAGACAGCAGACCTGCCTTACCATGGCTACAGACTTCATGTCCTTCTGGGGGCATCTCCAAACATTCCCAAGCCAACTGAGGGATAGAGTCTGGGCCTGAAACATCTCCCTTGGTGGCTCCCCAGGTAGCTTCCCTGTATGATATCTGCACCACCTCAGCTGTCTCCTATCTATTTCAAGGTCCTCCAAATCTCCAAACTCCTCACCCTGTCACACATTGTCTTGCAACCCTGCGGAGAAACCTAATTTCAGCCACTTGTCCTCATGCCCTTGTCCTTCTGGTCAGTACCCACAGCTCAAGACCACAGGAGTGGATTGGGACATAGACTGACCATTAACCTGCAAGCCTCGTCCGAAATATTAGCTCCACACCACAGACCTGTGACCCATCTGTCAATGTCACTTTCCATTTTCCCATCACTCAGAAAAAAGATCTTGAGGTATTTAAACTCCTTCACTAAGGGCAAACTCTCCCCCTCACCCGAAAGGAGCAATCCCCTCTTTTCCAAGAGAGCACCATAGCTTCTGATTTGGAGGTAATGGCCCCGCTGCTACTTCCTTGGCATCAAATGGTTGAAGTTCGAGGTCCTGGACATATGAGGTCAAAGGAACATCATCATCCACAAATAGCAGGGAAGTGACCTATAACCCCCCCCCCACACACACACACACACAACTGGACATGCATCCAGGCATTTGTGTTAATATCCTGTCTACAAAAATCACAAACAGGAGTGAAGACAAGAGGCGCCTTTGCCTGAGGCCTCGACTCACTATAAACAGCCTTGACTTCTTGCCAAGTACATGGACGTGGGTCTTACTACATTCATGCTGGGACGGAAGAGCTCACAGTGCTGCTTCCAGTGGGCCATATTCCTGCAGCACTTCCTATAGGGTGTAACTGGGCCGATGGTCACACTCCTTTTACACAGAATACCGACACAGCACCGGTATGAACATCGTAAAATTCACACCTCAGTATAGCTCAATTAGATACTCAGGAGAGCCTAATTATTGACATTAATTTCAAGTCAATGCATTACGTCTAAAATTTAGCATTGTGTTTAAAATCTTCTCCTTAATGATTGGTGTAGTATTTAGCTAAACCTCTTCAGAGGTGGCTGGTCCATAGAAGGAAAGGAGGTAAAGCTTTAAATTTTTAAAATTACGAAATAAGTTTTATTGTCATTTAAAAATACACATTCTCTCTATGAAATCACTATTGTAATGTTGTAAAATCTTCTTACCTCCTCAACCAGCCGTCACTGAACCTGATACAGTATGTAACACCCTTGGATAACTAGTGTTCATTACATGGAAGTTTATCCATGACTTCAGCACAGGGAGTAACCAGCGATATACGTAACTGGTCATGTAAAGAGTTCTATGTTCATCTTAAACATTTGCTGTCATTTACTGTTTGAAGTAAAGTCTTTCAAACACCCCGGTAGATCATGTAGCTAGTTTGGCCCAGTGTTTCCCAAGTTAGTCACAAGGCACATGGCAACCCTGCACTGAAAGAGCGATTATGGAAGATGCATGCATAGATGGATGTATTTATAAGACTGAACATCTGCAATATGACTCTGAGCATTAAATAGCAGGGGACAATGTATTTTGTCTCCGTGTAAGTGACTTGGCTGAGTGTCATATTGGAAATGTAACATTCTGGCCGCGAGCTGAGTTAGCGGGTAGCCGCTTTGTGACTCGCAGCCAGAAGAAACTGCGTGCACAGTCTGTCACCGAATATGCCGGGGCACGGGATGGCTGTGACAAGCAGACAAGGCTTCATATCCTGCACCTACGCTGTTTTTTTTTTTTTTAAATTAGAAACAAATTCCTGTAAGCCGTGAGGCACATGGTTGGGGAGGCAGGCGAGATGCCAGAAACACTCAGAGCGGAGGTGACATTAAGGGCTCAGGACAGAAAGGCAGCGGGCAGAGACAGGCTGCACGGGCCCCTCCCCTCCGGGGGACATCGCACTTTACAATGGACACGCGTCCATAAATGCCATGGGAGGGGGGGCGCTCAGAATACAAGCCGCAAGAGCCGCTCACATACCACGCTAACATTCTGCTCTCATGCAGTCACGTGTTTTCAGGCACGATTGGCGCTGCTAGCTGGTAGCCAGAGAGACCACTGTGTTTTGGGGAGGGTGTCTGCTTTCCAGATGGTGCCCAGGCCCCCCCACCCCCATCCCCGACATCCTGATGCCAAATGAAGTCATCAGATTCGGACACCAGCAGATCTGACCAACAGTCAGTTATACACACCCCACCTCAGTACAGCAAACCTATTATGTAATCTACAAATTTACTAAATCATTCGCCTGCTAGGGGATGGTATGGTGGATTAATGATGAGCGCTGTCGCCCCAAGCTTCAGACACCAGGGTTCGAGTCTCCGACATGGCTCCATGTGTGTGGAGTCTGCATGTTCTCCCCGTGTCATCGTGGGGTTTCCTCCAGTTACTCCAGTTTTCCCCCCACAGTCCAAAAACATGCTGAGGTTAATTGGAGTTGTGTGTGAGTGAGTTTAAGAGAGAGAATATGCCCTGCATTCTGGGATAGGCTCCTGCCCCTCCATGACCCTGAATAGCACATGTGGTTGGATAAGATGGATGGGCATTCCTCTGCTAATAAGGAGTACCATTGTATTTTAACCCTAGACCCTGAGTATTTACCCCCAATGCCAATCTTCCTTCAAAAAAAAAACCAAGTCCCAGGTAAATTTCACTTAGCCCCTGATTTCTCTCAGTAGCTAGAAACGTCCCTGATGAATACTTAATAAAAAAGTACTACTTACAA